TAACTGCACCCATACACTCTTTCAAAAGAATGGTATTAGAACAAGTGTTGTATGCACGTTTACCAACACTATGCTTGTTATATTTGTGAGGCATTATGATTTAAACAAAAGTAAATATAAACAACACAAGCAAACTGCAATGTAGTAATTTATTAAACTATTATATAATTTTATTAAATTGCAATATTGATTTAGCAACAACAACAACAAATAGTTTAACAAGAAAATATACTTAAAATCCAAAATACATTCATGCAAAATCTGTTTTTCAAAAAAAATTATTTGGATAACATGCTTCAAAATAATATTTTAGTTATAATAAATAATGATTAGACTACTTTAAAATGAATATTCTTTACTTGGCCAAAGTTACCCCAAAAGAGTATAAACCTACGGGGTAACTATGACCACCCAGTAAAAAAAAACAGAATGTTGTTACTTGAGCCAAAAACTTTTAGCTTAATTTTATCTGAATGTTTGTCTTTAAAAAAGAAGAAAAACTGAGTTGTTTGCTATCATTTTTATCTTCGCCCAGACAACATTCTGTTTTACAGTTTTTGATTGTGTTTGACCAAGATATAGTTTTCATTTTTTTTTACTTATAGTAAAGAGCATTTGCAACAAACTTCAGATCCAAAATTTAAGCAAGATAGATTGCATTTACAAATAAAACAAAAATAGCAAAACGTTACTTAACTGTTTAAATTTTAAAAAATGGCCAAAGTTACCCCGCTGGCCAAAGTTACCCTGGTTTACAGTAATATTGTGTTTAAATTACTTTGTTTACATAATATTGTGCTTAAATTACTTTGTTTACATAGTATTGTGCTTAAATTACTTTGTTTACATAATATTGTGTTTAAATTACTTTGTTTACCTAATATTGTGCTTAAATTACTTTGTTTACATAATATTGTGCTTAAATTACTTTGTTTACATAATATTGTGCTTGAATTACTTTGTTTACATAATATTGTGTTTAAATTACTTTGTTTACCTAATATTGTGCTTAAATTACTTTGTTTACATAATATTGTGCTTAAATTACTTTGTTTACATAATATTGTGCTTGAATTACTTTGTTTACATAATATTGTGTTTAAATTACTTTGTTTACCTAATATTGTGCTTAAATTACTTTGTTTACATAATATTGTGCTTAAATTACTTTGTTTACATAATATTGAGCTTAAATTACTTTGTTTACATTAATATTGTGCTTAAATTACTTTGTTTACATAATATTGTGCTTAAATTACTTTGTTTACATAATATTGAGCTTAAATTACTTTGTTTACATAATATTGTGCTTAAATTACTTTGTTTACATAATATTGTGCTTAAATTACTTTGTTTACATAATATTGAGCTTAAATTACTTTGTTTACATAATATTGTGATTAAATTACTTTGTTTACATAATATTGTGTTTAAATTACTTTGTTTACCTAATATTGAGCTTAAATTACTTTGTTTACATAATATTGTGCTTAAATTACTTTGTTTACATAATATTGTGCTTAAATTACTTTGTTTACATAATATTGTGCTTAAATTACTTTGTTTACATAATATTGTGCTTAAATTACTTTGTTTACATAATATTGAGCTTAAATTACTTTGTTTACATTAATATTGTGCTTAAATTACTTTGTTTACATAATATTGTGCTTAAATTACTTTGTTTACATAATATTGAGCTTAAATTACTTTGTTTACATAATATTGTGCTTAAATTACTTTGTTTACATAATATTGTGCTTAAATTACTTTGTTTACATAATATTGAGCTTAAATTACTTTGTTTACATAATATTGTGATTAAATTACTTTGTTTACATAATATTGAGCTTAAATTACTTTGTTTACATAATATTGTGCTTAAATTACTTTGTTTACATAATATTGTGCTTAAATTACTTTGTTTACATAATATTAAGCTTAAATTACTTTGTTTACATTAATATTGTGCTTAAATTACTTTGTTTACATAATATTGTGCTTAAATTACTTTGTTTACATAATATTGAGCTTAAATTACTTTGTTTACATTAATATTGTGCTTAAATTACTTTGTTTACATAATATTGAGCTTAAATTACTTTGTTTACATAATATTGTGCTTAAATTACTTTGTTTACATAATATTGTGCTTAAATTACTTTGTTTACATAATATTGTGCTTAAATTACTTTGTTTACATAATATTGTGCTTAAATTATTTTGTTTACATAATATTGAGCTTAAATTACTTTGTTTACATAATATTGAGCTTAAATTACTTTGTTTACATAATATTGTGCTTAAGTTACTTTGTTTACATAATATTGTGATTAAATTACTTTGTTTACATAATATTGTGCTTAAATTACTTTGTTTACATAATATTGTGCTTAACCCTTTGAGCGCTCGATAAAATTTGAACGCCGTTCAGAAAACTTCAACTAAAAAAATATCAGCAAAAAAAATTGGCAATAAACGTAACAAAAAAGCAACTAATTTTGAACTTTTTTATTTTTTTGTAGGTTATATAAGATTAAAAGAAGTTTAATGATTTTAATGCACAACTGTTGTGTGATAATTGGAAAAACAGGCTGGACACAGTCCAACACCACATAACTGACACTGCCAACTTGTGCGGACTCGAGATTGGTGCCCAGCTACACATTTTATTTTTTTTCCTGCACCAACCTTAACAAGATTGTGACCATATAATGGATTGCTACTTGCAGTGTGTTGGGGAAGTGGATATGGGACAATTGTACTTCTAGCCAATTCAATCTCTCTTGATGTTCTTCTTTTAGAAATTACTTTTACTGGAAAATAACCTCCGGCTAAACTTTCCACTATAGCCATCATAAAATCTATTCTTGACATTGGCTTTTGTTCATTTGTATTGAGCTTATACAATAAATAGCTATTTAAAATTGCTCTACCAAATAAAGAAAAAGCAACTTTAGTAGTCCACTTTATTGTTCTACGCTCAGACAAGTACACATAGAGCTGTGCATCACCCAAATCTACACCCCCATGGTTTTATTGTAAAGGGCAACAACATTTGGTTTCATAACTATATTTCCTCATCTGTTACGCATTTCAGTAAAACCTGCTTTGGCAACAGTAGATAATAATATAGGCTTTTTTTTACCATCTTGGTATGCCACACACAACAAGGGACCTTTTCTATATTGGCATACCTCCTTATTTTTTAATTTCGATTTAATGCAGGTTTCTGGTAGGCCTTTCCTGTTGACTCTCACTGTGCCTGTTGCAGTGGTCTGATGAGCATAAAGATCTAATAACAGTTGAGGAGAAGTATAATAATTGTCAATACCTAAGTGATGACCTTGGTGGAGGAAATTAGTTTGGCGCAAAAGACGAAAAACTAAACTATAAGTCATACCATAGGCAATGGCTGCTACATCTGGGTCTTTTCCTCCCTTGTAAATTTCAAATTGACACAAATAACCGTTAGTGCTGTCTGAAACACACCATAACTTAATCCCAAACCTAGAATGATGTTTGTTTGGCATATATTGACGCAGATGTGGTGTCTTTCCTTTGTAGCCAACCATACTTTCATCTATAGAAATGTCTTTTTGTGGATAATAATAATATAGAAATTTGTTGTTAAAATGTTCAACTAAAAACTGAATTTTATAAATTTTATTGAGTGGTTGTTGATTTGGTATATGGATGTCTGTAAAATGAAGAAATTTAAGCAAAAGTTGAAACCGGTCACGATTGAAGTGGGTAACAAACCAGGGAGTAGATGCACAAGGATGACTTATATCCCAGTAAAGTTTAAGATTAGCTTTTTTGATGAGACCCATGTTGATTATGACTCCAAGGAAAGCTCTTATCTCTAAAAGATTGGTCTTTCCTTGTTTAATCCATCCATGACCTCTTGATGTTGGATGGGACCTCAAATGTTGTTGATTGTTTTGAATCCACGTGTCAGCATAATTATTAGTAAAATTTACTATATTTTGCAAAAATTCAGTTGTAAAAAACAAGTCCACATATTCAATAGGCTTAGACTCAGGTGAAATTGAGTGCTTGGGTCCTGATTCACCAGTAAAGTGAACAACATTAGGACCATTTTCATCTTCTAAAACAAATAACTATTCGTCTAAAACATTACCACCAACATCACCTACATCAACATCGCCATCAGAACTGAAGTCTACATAAAAATTAAAATAAAAACTTCAAATTATCATACTAGGTGATATATTTGTATTAAATAATATTGTTTACAATTTTTTAATTAAAGTTATCGTGCCTTCATCAAACAAACTGTCATCGCTGGAACTTAAAAATTCTTCGCTGGTACAACTCTCGTCATCCATACAACTTTCTTCACTGTCGCTCATTTTCAAAACCAAATATATAACAACAATATACCAAAAGATAAAGAAAAATGTGCTCTATTCAATGCTACCATTTTTAATGAACGATCAGCGGTATTTTGCTGTAAAAAGTCATAGTTTCAAAGACCACTTTTAAAGCCACGATCGTGGCTCTTCGCGCTCTGGCGGTATAGCCACGATCGTGGCTCGTCGCGCTCAAAGGGTTAAATTACTTTGTTTACATAATATTGTGCTTAAATTACTTTGTTTACATAATATTGTGCTTAAATTACTTTGTTTACATAATATTGTGATTAAATTACTTTGTTTACATAATATTGTGATTAAATTACTTTGTTTACATAATATTGTGCTTAAGTTAATGCATAAACTCCTAGTTCTCTTTCTTATGTTGGAGAGTTTCACTGTCTCTCCCCCATTGTCTCCCCCAATAGCTTAAAATTATTTATTTTGCATGGTCTCAATCAATAAAAAATTCCACATCAATATTTAGTTTTTAGCAAACATTTAATAAACAGGCTGCTAAATAAATCTAACTGATACTAAAGATCACGATTGGTTTGTATTATAAGCCTACTCAAAATTATTTGAATATAAATTATTATTACAATAGTTACTTTTATTTAGGGAAAGCATCATTTATCCAGATTTAAACTAATCTCAAGTCGTAGAAATCAAGATAAACCGTGAGTACAGTTTTCATAATTTATATGAAAATTATAAGATTCTTATAAAAATGTTACGAAAAATGTTTTTATAAGAAGCATTGTTTTGTTAAAAAACAATGAAAAACAATACTTTTTTTATGATAGCACTTGTTTCTAAATTGGTGTTATACCTAACAACTGTGTGTAGTCTCTAATATATATTTATATTTTAACTTGAACACTATTTAGATTTCATGAATGTTAAAATGAATGAAATTTATTTGTCTATTTACGTAAAATGCGTGTCTAATTGTTTATCAATTATGGGATGCTCATTTTATCTTTTAATTTAGATTAAGTAGAATTTGATACTGATGACTTTTTTTAGTTTGAGGTCTCTTTTGAATAAAAAGTTTATTTTACTTTGTTTTCTTTACATTTTTTCCTTATTCAGATTTTTGAAGAAATTTTGACTAAGATACTATGATCTGTTCTGGTAATGTCTTGATTATTTGATTTTTTCTGGTAATGTCTTGATTATTTGATGATTGGTAATGTCTTGATTTGAGAGTTTTGGTTGAAGGCTTTTTGCTTTGTGTCCGAAAAGTAGTATCAATTGTTTGAGAACTCGTTAAATTAAATTTCTTCACAAAATACATCATATAAAGTGTTATATGATATATTATTATATTTTTAACAATTTTCAGTTATTTTTTCTACTTTTAGTTTAGAAAAAAGTGAATCCGATTGCGAGAAAAATTTTGAAGTTTTTGATATTGTATCTGATGCACCTTCTGTATCTGTTGATAATCCAGTTGTAGAAGATTGTGATGACATACTTTGCAATTCTGTTAAAATGATCAGACATAATTTAATCATTGAAAATGGTATAAATTTTTTTTTGTTAGTTTTAAATTTTTTTAGATTTTAAAGTCTAGAAAAATTCTAGATATCTAAAGTCTAGAAAAGGTTTATTTTGTTTCTAGAAAACACAAGTCAAGTTATTTGATCTTGTAAATTATAATTTTAAAAATAATAAATAAAGTTAAGCTAACTATTTATATGATCGTTTATAATTTATTTTATTGTTCATGATTTATAATTCTAGAAAATACTAATGAAATTAAACAAACTGACTATGTGTATGATTTATACTTTGCACCTGAGGAGATTCAACGCTCTGACAATGAGTTGTAAGTTACATTTTTAATTTGATTTTTAAAAAGGTATTGCATAATAAAATAACAACATTCAACAGAAAAGAACCAACTGACAATTTAGCATATGAAATTTTATCACCATTGAATTCAACAATATGTTTATCAATAAGGAACCAACTGCAATATCCACTACTTATGTGTTATAATCCAATTTTAAAATGTTGATTTTATATGCCTTTCAGTTATAAATTATTTTTTTTTATATGTCATCATTTCAGTTAGAGATTTTTGTAGTTGGTTTATTTTTGTTGAATGTTGTTCAAATGGGGTTTAGGTTGTTATTATTTAAAAATAATACAAACATTCTCATGTAGTATACACACGTATTCTGTATAGTATATGCGCATACCAAGTCACTCACTTTATCAAGACACTACATTAGGGTGTCCCGTTTCTGCATTTTTTTTTAGTTTTGTGTTAAACTTTTTATGTGAGGTGCATATTTATTTAGGGGTTGCACCATTACCTAATTTGGGTAAAGTATAGTTTTTGTGCCTATTTTTCAACATTTTATATAGATTTCACTTTAAGTTTTTTAAAATTCATTCAAGGACTTTTAGTATGTTATTTTTTACTAAGTAATGTATTACAGTTAAAAAAACTAAACTAAAAAAAAAAAAATTTTAAGGGTTGCAGTATTAAGTTCGGTCATTTTGCCAATATGGTGTCAATTTTTGAATTCTTGCTGCAGTTAGTTGATCTGTCAGCAAGAATGCAAGTATAGTAAAAAGATAAAAGAAATACTCAAAATAAAAACTGTAGCCAATGATTAAAAAAATCACTCTTTAATTTGATAATTTGTTTAGATAATTATACTAAAGTTAAAATAGTATATACTTTCAAATACAATGTACAAACCAACATTAAAAAAAATTATTTAAAAGCAATTAAAGTTTTATAGGAATTTCCTTAAAAAATTTCCACAAAGTTTTTTTGTATATTTCGTGGCATATCAAAAACACTATTAACTTAATATTCTATATGTCTATATCTATTATGGTAACAAAATGTTATTAATTGTTAATTTTTACCAGAGTTTATTGATTTTAGTTAGCATGCAATTCAAAATGGCTAGCAGTAGTACTGTATTACTTCAATTTCAAATTTTCAATTGTATTAGTTCAAAAATGGAAAAGTTTAGAGTAGTTATTGGCAAAGATGATAAAAACAAAAAAAGCTTAGATGATAAGTTTTATCCTACACCACCAAAAAAAAATTGCCTGCACTATTCAGCTTTTTTCTCAGTTATTCAGCTTATTTCTCAGTTGAATCCAAAAACGCTGACTGAATCGTTTACTGAAATTTCTAATTGCTTATGCCTCAGTTTTAGAGATACAATGGCCATTCAAGTTAAATTAATTAAAGGTGTTAGTGCTTTCCTTGAACAGTTTACTATTTTAAAATTGAATATTCATTGTCAATAAAAAAAAGAGCAAGAAAGTCAATTTCATTAATTAAAAAATAAATATAAATGCAACAATCCACTTCATCTATCACTGCAATTGCAAACTTGTTTTATTGCTTTCAATACTTAGTATAATAGTCTTAAGAAAACTTTTTTTTTTCCCACAGGAAAGTGTTGCTATTCTTGCAAGCAGATGGAATGATTTTATTGAACAAACAAATCCCAACGTTTTCGAGATTCCTACAATTCCAAATGCTACTGGTGTAGCCCAGAAATATCAGTTTATCAACCATTTTAAATCATGGAAGCTGCATGATGATTTAATTGCTTTTTGCTTCGACACAACAACTATTAACACTGGCTGGAAGGCAGGATGTGCTCCTTTAATTGAGATGGAGATCGATCGTGGAATTTTATGTGCTTCTTGTCAGCACCATTTATGAGTTGCATATAAAACACGTCTGGGAGGCAGTTATTGGGAACCATAATAAGCTAATCAAGTTGCTACAGGACTCAGATTTCCATTAAAAAAGGGATATTTTTGAGTTTAAGTTTCCTGCAGACTGAGATGACCCAATCCATCCATTGTTTATCTCGACAGAGAATTACAAGATGAAAGGATTTTTTGGATTAAGAGATCCGGTACTTATCATTGTGCAAGATTCAAGTACAATGACCTATACTTCTTTAAGTACATAATAGTGGACCAACAAGTTAACTGGCTCAACCAGGACCAGCACTATAAGCTTAAGGGAAGAGTGGATTTTATTGCGCTGTTCCAAGCAAAAGCTTTTTTGCCGAGTTGAATTTCCATCATTATACCAAATGTTGATCGCCAGTATATCAGTGACATATAGTGGTATTGCAAATTTGACAGTACAGTGGCAAATGCCACACTTTAGTTGTGTTAGAGGCATCTTTGGTATTTAACTCAACAGTTAGTTGTCTTTATCTTGTTTGATGAATTTATTCCACTGATTGAAAAGTCTACTGAAAATTTGAAATTGTTTAATATAAAAAAAAAAAAAAATTAAGCTTGGAAAACCAATATTTCCACAAATTGAACTGGATAAAGTTCTTAATTTTGTGGCGCTGATTAGGCTAGATTCCTGGCTACTGTTTTACTTAAAAAGAGACCTAATTAATTGAATTGGTTGCAACTACCTGTTGAACATTGAGCAAAGATAAAGAATTACAACTATGTTAAGAAAGTAGTTGAGTTTTTAGAAGTGGGTAATGACTGCGCTAAACAAGGAGTCAAGCTGATCCAATATTTCAAAAACAAATATCCAAAGTAGCTACAACACTCACTTCATATCATTGAGAACCATTGCAAATGGGTGTTTCTCATTAGAAAAAAGGATTACTTAAATAACATTTATTTATTTTTTATACTTTTGTTTTAAATTTTGAATATAAGTCGCGTATTATTTCAGTCCTGTGTGACCCCTAAATATTTTTCTTTCAGCCCAGTTTTTTACTTGTAATAAGTTACTTAATGATCATTTTACAAAGACATGTAAAGACAGAATAAAAAAAGTTCTTAAGCCTTAACAAAATAAATAAATGCCTTAAAGTACTAGATTACTAAACATAAAGATATAATAGATGAAAGATTTCCTCAACAATTTATATTAGAATCATCTTTTTTAAAAACCAATAACTTTCTGTTTAATGACAAAATGTATTACCAAAATACAGGAACAGCAATGGTTACTGATTTTGCTCCAGATTATGTATCACAATTGGGTTTTTACAAGAAGCAAGACTTTTTTCTAAAATCGATATAAACAATTTTATTATAGATACATTGATAATGGTTTCAAAATCTAGCCAAAACATTTGGATATCGTAAAGTTCACAAATTCTTTAACTGAAATAGAAAATTCAATCAGTTTTATAACAGACCAGGGCAAAAAAATTATAGAAGATGGTAACACTTACAATGTGATTAATTTTTTAGACATATCTATTCTTAAAAATAGCAATAAAATAAAAACACACATTTATTATAAAGAAACCAATACTCGTGATTACTTAAATTATAAAAGTCATCCTGATCACATAAAAAAGAACATACCTTCGTGCTAAGAAAATAATTGTTTTTATATCTGATTACAAAAAGAAAAAACAACGATTAGCAGAACTAAAAATATGGCTAAAAGAATGTGAACATCCTGATAATTTTATAGAAAAAGCTTTTCACGATGCAAAACTCCAAGGAACAAATCTAAAGAAATCTTTCCCTTACTTACAATTTTTTATAGCAACTTGAATTGTCAACCTTTTATTACTGAAAGTTATCTTTTACTTAATCTACCTTTAAATGAAAGAGTATCTTATCTTTTACTTAATCTATCTTTAAATGAAAGAGTAAAGGAGGTTTTTTCAAATATCCAGCCACTAATTGCATTTAAACAACCACCCAATCTGTTAAGAGTACTGACCTCTGCAAAATTCCAGTTAATTAATGAAAAAAAATGGGTTATTTAAATTTAAAGATAATTGTTGTAATATATGCAAGTTCTACCTTCAAGAAGTTAAAACATTTACAACATTAAATAGTTCCATATGGAACATAAAATGTCATATAACTTGCAATAGTAAAAATGTAATTTAAAGTATTTATTTTGCAATATGAAAACTACATACATCAGAAAAACTAATAATTTAAGGCTTTGTACAAATGTACATTTTAGTTGTAGAACCAGACAATCACCAGAGAGATTTAATAGCCATTTTTATAATTGCCAACGTGCACATAATACAACTATAGAATCTTTCTTCCAACTTTTTGTTTTTTTGGTCAAAAATGAAAAGAATTTAATTTCCTATGAAAAACCTCTCTAAAAACAAAAGCATGGCACTTTTATGATTTTATATACATATATATATATATATATATATATATATATATATATATATATATATATATATATATATATATATATATATATATATATATATATATATATATGTATGTATATATATGTATATATATAAATCATGTATAGTGACATACATAAACTCATTAAATTTTTCAATTTTAAGTAATATTTTAGCTTTAGTTTTTTAAGTTTAAACTTTAGTTTGATGAGTGTGGTAATTAGTTTGATAATTTTTTTTTTTTTAATTTGTAGTAAAGGAAAAGTAAGATTAATTTGTTTTTTAATTTAAAACCTACATACTTCATGCTTGCTACCTACATACTTCATACTTGCTACCTACATCTACCTGCATACTACCTGCTTACTAGTAAATAAAAGTTATTGAAGTAAATTTTATTTAAGTACACTAATTGTTTTCTATGATGATTATTTACTATGTAGAAGGATTATATTGCAAGTATTAGAAATATGCTATTTGCAGGTATTGCAGGTGACAGTAATATTAAAATTTCATTGATTGGTTGCACTTTAGATAAACAGTAATGTTATATAGTATTTATTTTATTTTATTCTAGGTTAGATATTGAATTTTATGAAGATATTTTAGATGCAAATGAAGAGATCGATGATGATATTATTGACGATGAAGATGATTCAAATGGTAATATTGTATAGTTTTCTAATTATTTTTATATTAGAATAAGTTATAGAGTTGCTTATACAAAAAAAAAATTTTTTAGATGAAAATAACTGGAGAAATGACTATCCAGATGAAGAAGAATACAATTCATCTATTGACGAGGAATGTAAGAGTTGACTTTTATTTGTTTTTTTACTTGTCTCAAAAGTTAGTTTTTTGTGCTGTTAATTTGCATTTGCTCAACTTAGTCAATTTTGTTGATAAAACATTAAAAATTTAAAAATTTATTAATCAATATGGTTTTGGTAAATACTACTTTACAGGAGTAGTTTTCTATTTTTTTTATTAAATACATATTTCTTTTTTTTTTTTTTTCCTATTATTCAAGTTTTGAGAAAAAGAAAAACTGCTATTAAAAAATTTTTAAGTTAAACTTAAAAACAATGATGGTATAAAATCTAACCTAAAAAACAATGATGGCATAGATTCTAACATAAAAAGCAATGATGGCATAAAATCTAACATAAAAAACAATAAAATGGCATAAGATCTATTAATAAAATAATTCCATACAATATAATTACAACCAAAATTAATGTTGAAAAATAAATTAAAATGATTTAAATAAGATATTCAACTTAGTTTCTTTATTTTTCATAATAGTTATATTAATATTTATTATATTTTCATAATATTTATTATATTAATATTTAATACTAAAATTAGAATTACTATGTTAGAATAATAGCAAAAGATTTCTTTAATTGTAAGTAAAGGTCAGCGTATTTTCTAAATTATTGAATTTTAAGAACTATAATTAAAATAAAAAAAGAATAGCTAGATAGTTTTAATATTTTTCATTTAAGGGTTGGTATAAATTGATAGTATTAAACCATAATGGGATGAACTACTATAAAAGTTGACTTTTATACTAGTTCATCCAATTGAAGGTGTTGACAGATTTGAATATGAATAATATAAACATATGTTTAAATAATATACTCAAACATATGTTTAAAATTTGTATTTGGTTTTCAAACCTTTGCCAACCAACTTCCATCTTTGTTTAAATATCTGAATAAATTTAGAATGTTGCTTGATTTTAAAATGATTTTGGTCCAATTAAATCAGATAAACAGCAGTCAGCTTTAGAAGTGGAAGTCATGTTTCATACTTTCAAGAATTAATTTTAAACTAGTTGTGACTTTATCTGAAGATAGTAAATGAGGGAGCATTTCTTTTGTTCCAAAGATGGCTATTGTTTTTTACGTGTAGCAAGAAAAACATGATTGTCAAAAAATTTATAGGCATTTCTTTGTTGGTGCATCAATTGTGTTTGTAAGCCACATTTTCACATGAAATTGTAAATTTTCAACTTGAACTTTCTTCAAATTCTTCTTCATACTTGTTTGTGACACATTTATGTGTACTGTGTACATTTGTGTGTACTGTGTACACTTTACATAAAGCACAAACTATTATGACAAGATTATAGTTACTATAAGTTATATTATATAAGTATAAAATTATTTATATATAAATAAAATTGAAATAAAATTATTTGAAAAGTGCATTAATAAGTATATTTCTTATAAAAATTTTTCTCCTCTCAAATTTTGCATTAATAAGTATATTTCTTATAAAATTTTTTGAAAATTGTTGAATAAGAATTACATGAAATTTCCCACGTATTAACTGCAGAGTTTACCTCTAGGTTTAAACGGTTTGTCTTGGTCTACGATTTTCTATGAAAGGAAATGATTTAAACCGTTGTTTTAAACTTCCTATACAAATTTAGAATTAACTTTACTTTCATATCGAAAGGAATTTTTCATGCTTGAAAAATCAATCTTTACATATTTTTTAGTTGATTATAGTAGGAACCCTCTTCATGTTGATTTGTTTTGACATAGTATATGCAAATAACGTTTTCACTTTAAAACTTTTTCATTATTGGCAAAGACTGATAGGTCAATAGTTGTCCATTTATTAGTCTTGTTATGCCATAGTCATGATTTTAGTATAGATAGTTGCATAACTTCTTTGCATATCCAAAGTGCTGTCAGTTTTTAGTTTAGTTAAGGTTTTATAGATGGAATCAATTCAACATATAGTTTATGATTGATTTATCTGATTTGATATTAACTGTGTTCTTTCTTGTGTAGTATAATCTTTATTTCACCATTTCTGATAGCGTAGTATTTGTTTGTCATTTTTCTCTTCTTTATGTGGTAACTCTTTATTCTTGTCCTAGCATATTTTGCATAGATTTCTGTTTTGTCTCTATTCAGATAATGATTAAATTTTTTGCTTCTTGGTCCACTAGTTCGACAAAAACTAGTGTTTGCAGTTACAAACTCTTTTTTTTGGTTAGCTGTGTTTTGTGTCTGTGTTTTTTTATCGTGTGCGGCGTTGTTTTAATAACCTTTTCAATAATTAAATTCAAACATTGTTATTCAGGTTTATAGTATAGCTTGCAAATGTTTATATTCAAAACAAGAATAGAACTACTCATTTTTTGTATGTTTATTATTTATAATATTTTAATCAGAATAAAATAAATTAAGTTTTACAACAATTTAATCGTGATCTGCATAAACCATGCTTCGCATTTTTTTACTTTTTTGCAAAATTTTGAGGTTTTATTGCGAAAAATGTTCCTTATCAACGATATTCTGAAAAAATCAAACATGTGTCAAAGTACCTTACATTATTAGTAAATACGCGGTTTTCAAGTGGCCAACAAAAACAAATCATTAACAATTAAAGGTTTTTTCAAATTTACAAAAATGTTGATTTTGTAACATATGTGGTTTTTGCATATCACGATATGCAAAAACAATACAATGTTACTTACCATATCAAAAAAAAATTATTTTTAAATATTTAAGAAGATTTTGTAGAAGTTCTTTTATTTATCTAATTAATCCTTCTTTGTTTGTTTGTGTTTTGTTTCTTCGCTAAGGAGGAAAGACTATCAGATAACCTTTTTTTGGTAAGACTGGTGGAGCTTTTCCCAGAAATCCTGAAAGCAGAGCGAACTCTGTCAACTGATATCAATCTGTTCTGTTTCTCCTCTTCGTTGTTGTAACGATGAACATATTGCTGCATCATGCCGACGGCTCTTTCCGAATGGTCATTGATAACAATAAGGCTATTGGCATAATTTTCAAAAATTTTAAACGAAGACTGTGTATGCCAGTATTGCGGTGGAAGTGAAAGCCAGTCTTTTATTCTTTCTTCTGTTAAACCGCAAAAACTAAACATAAGGTAAGAAAACTCATCTACCAAAGGGGCTAAGCTTGGTGGATCTTTCTCAGTACTAGCATTTTTTTCTATCTCTTTTCTGATGTCTTTTTTTTCTTTGTTTTCATTTTTAAAGTGTTCAGCCCTAGGCATTTTAAATGAAAGAATTGCAACTGCAATTTTTTGTTTTTCATTCAAAGGCAAATCCTCATCCAATAGAGCTAGTGGAATCATAGTTGAATCCAAGTACCAAGTGTGCTTGTAAAGCGAATCAAGCACAGCATCAACTGCTTTTGGATTCAAACAAATATTTCTGAATTGACGCATCTGATGGATAGCTTTCATATCTAAGTTGGGGGCCTTTGATACATTGCTCGATTCTAAATACCACTTGGCATAAAAACAGGCTACAAACTCTGCGATAAGCTTGATTTCCATTTTGAGATCGTTGTTCTCTTGAACTAAGTCAAGTTGAGAATACAGAAGCTGCATTTTTAGATAGTAAATTGCTTTAGCAAGAAAATGGGCATGATGGATAGCTCCAGTTTTCCTGATTTTATATTTTATAGAAGGTGATAGATAAGTCACAACTAATTCAGCCAGCTCTCTTCTGTCTTCACGTTTATCTTCTCCTACTATCCCCTTTCTTTCTATATATGCTTTGCAAAAGTTCATAGAATCTTCAGCAGCCTTTTCACTTATACTACCATTAACCTCACTCCAATCAAACTTGCACAGATCACTTGGAGAATAAATAAGATTAGGATGTTCAAATAGGCTCTTAAATTTTTGAAACAATGGGTTTTCTGGTCCTGTACTTAACTTATTTGTTGTATGTTTCCAAAAATGCACCATTCTTAATTCTGTAATGTGATGCCTACATGCTAGTTTTAGAAGATATTTATTTAAATTGTTGGATATCTTTACGACTGAGCCTTTTTTGATCCCGGTATTGCTTGCAGTTGTATCAAAACAAAGACCTCCTACTTTTGATTCAAGTTTATATTCCTTTAGTACGTTCATGACACTTGTGTATTGATCCTCGCCGGAAGAGGAAGTTAGAGGAGGGACACCTAGTAGTTGTGTCTCACCCTCAATGTTCACAAGAACTGCCAGCCTGTCAATCTTGAACTTTTTTCCTGCATTAATTTCATAAAGAGTTTTTCCATCAAAATGTATAATACATGGATAAGGAGAAGCTTCTATTGCTTTTTTTACATCCTCTTTTGCTAAAGTTGATATATTTTCATTTGCCAATTTCATCTTTCTAAAAGCTGTTGATTTACTGCAATGTATATCTGTAAGATCAACACCAGCTTCAGTTAAAATGGCACTTGTCACTTTCTGCAAAACATTTGGTGAAACATCACTTAACGTAGCCATAAGAGCAACGTTCCCGGCATATACATCTATTAGAATTTCTGCCGTTACTGTACTGTTAGATTGAGATGGTTCTTTTTGATAATAGTTACTAGGCTCAAAATCAGAATCATCGGATGAATCAGAACTCAAATCAGAATTGAATTCAATTACATAATTAGAATTCGTCGACCGCACATCCTTTGTTCTATTTTTTTTTTCTGTTACTCTCTGCAGTCTACGAGTATAAAATAATATTAAATATAACGAAATATTTTATAAGAAAAATATCACCAAATATTTTTAATCGTACAGTTTTACCTTTCTGCTAAATTTCTTATCCTCTGTCCCAAGAATAAACTTTCGTTCTCCTTCCTGATCTTCCAAAAACATCAAATCTTCGAGCTTATTCTTGTCAGATCTTTTTTTGTCGCTTCTTATAATGTTCTTCAAATCTGGTTTGCCAATCCAAAAAACTTTTTTTAAGTAGTTCTCAAAGTTTTTCTGATTTGTTAAATCTTTAGGAGAGCCTCTTTTTTCATTTTTTTTCAAATCAGAATACTGCTTGTCTAGTCTTACAAGATTTTTGAACAATTGAGTGTCACTAACAACTTCAAACCCTGCTTTTACCCAGGGTTTCTTAACCTTAGCTAAAACACAGTTACAACCTAACTCTTCACATCTTTCAAAATTTTTACGAAGCAAGCAAAAAATTAAATTATTTTTTTTGGTGGTTTTAGGCAGTTTAGATTGCAGGTATGCTAGATGTTGTAGAATATCCATGCCTGTTGGAAGTTGAATTTCTAAATGCATGATTTTTTTTTTGTTTATTTTTTATTTTTTAATAATATAGACTCCTCTCTCTCTCTCTCTCTCTCTCTCTCTCTCTCTCTCTCTTAAATATATAATATACATAAACTTCTTACAAACTAGAAATTACCTGAAATTTCTGGTTTAGCTGCTTTAATAATAAACTATTTCTTTTTTTTATAAGATCTTAATTTAAATTTCTTTTCAAACTTGTACTCTTCGTTTCTTTTATACATATTTATTGCTCGTTTTGTATTTATCATCATTATTAACCTAAATAACCTAGAATTTTATATTTATAAACATTATAAATGCTATATTTTATTTTATATAGTTTAATTTTACATGATATTTACAACACATTATATCTTAATTTGTGCATCCATATCGCTACTTATAAAATTATTAAATTTGTAGTTATAAGTAAAGAACTTATTCTTTTGTTTGGTAAAGGTATTAAACATACATAAAATGAGTAATTCTATTCTTGTTTTGAATATATACATTTGCAAACTATACTAAAACCTGAATAACAATGTTTGAATTTAATTATTGAAAAGGATATTAAAACAACGCCGCACCGCAAAATAAACATTTTTTAGCCGATTTAAAATGCAAATTATACTGTATTTAGTGAAGAAAGAAAAAAACCATGAATATATTAAAAATATTCATGCTAGCCTTGCCCTCAAGACACATTAAAGTAAGCAGTTTTCGGTCATTTTTGAGTCCTTTTTTTCCAAACATGTACTTTGAGGGCAAGGAAAAAGTGGTTCAATGGTGCTGAAATTTTTTGTGAGTAAGTTTAAACATATTTGCTTCAAATCTAGATGGTTTTGTTTTTCAAATTCTAAAATTTTTTTTTTCTGAACACCCCTAATATATATATATATATATATATATATATATATATATATATATATATATATATATATATATATATATATATATATATATATATATATATATATATAAATATATATATATATATATATATTAAATATTTTTTTGTAATAATAAAATACATTACATGGGTTTTTAGATCACACTGACACCTCGACTGAGGAGGAGGATGCTTGCAATTATGGTGAATACAGAAACAGGTAAGGAATTTAATTTGCATCATTCAACTTTTACATACAATTCACAACTATCATGCAAGTTACTAACAAATTGCACAGCTGTGGTCAATGGTTAATAAATCCAAATCCACTATGATCAATGCAAATCCAAAAGCAAAATATTTTTGAACCAAAATAAAAATAAAAAAAATGGCTATAACTTAAAAACAAAAACAAAAAAATTAAGATTTTAAAAGTTATGAGCTTTACTAATCAATTTTTTTGTTGAGTATTTTATATTTGTAAATTGAATTATACTGTAAGTTGTAATTTTATTTTTATTTTTTTATTATTGAGATTTTTACAGTAAATTTTTCAATTTCATAATTTGCTTTTCATAAAATTTGTACTTTTTTTCATTTGTATTAAATTTTTATTATTCTATTATATTTAGTTTTATAAAAATGGTAAACATGAAGTAACTACTTTGTTTGGTTTAGTAAAAACATCTAGTGTTTTTACAAATGTTTTGTTAAAACTACTTATGCTGCATGAAACTAGAACAGATTTTATTTTAAATAAAAGTTTAACCCTGCGTCTACAAGTGAAAAAAAGTTGTATTTACAGCAAATTGGGTCCATTGGACCCATATGAACAAAAGCTGGGTTTATAAATTAAAAAATAATATCTAACAGACCAAACTAAGCATCTACCAGGAAAAAATGTTTTATTTACAGCGAATCGGGTCCATCAGACTCATATGATCAAGAAGCTGTGTTTATAAAAAAAAGCTAATTTTTTTTTTGTATATATATATACTTTTAGTGAAACAACATGTTAAACGTATCAATCAAGAGTTGTTCAATTGTCAAAACATTCCAATTTTAAAAATTAAAACAGAGGCTAAGCTTAAAATACTTTAAAGTTATTTTATTATTTGTTAAGCTGCTCTTTGTACACATATACGCACACAACATTATTCAAAAATTTATATATTAAATAGTAAATTTATGTATATATATATATATATATATTATATATATATATACATACATACATAAATTGTATGTATATATATATGTATATATATATATGTATATATATATATATATATATATATATATATATATATATATATATATATATATATATATATATATATATATATATATATATATATATATATATATATATATATATATATATGATTTGGTATGGTGATTATGGCTTCACTAATGACAAAGTTTTTTCTTGCTAAATACCATTTTTAAAACATGTTTAAATTGATGTTATGCTGTCACAAATGACCCAAAATTTGATACCATATTTACCAGGTTTATTTGAAATGTATTTTCTATATGGACATCTATCTCAGAATGCTACTAACTGTTCATCTACTGTAATGAACCAATCAAGAACATAAGCATCTTGCAAATTTTTAAAAAGTTCAAATACTTCTCTAAGTGGTTCTAGTTTATCATCTGATTTTTTTCTTCTACGCTCAGAAGCATTATCTAAATAACACACAAAAATCTAAATAACTCACAAAAATCTAAATAACACACAAAAATCTAAATAACACACAATCTGCTTGTGAATTATGATTATGACTCGTAACTTAAATAATTTTCTTCTATTGTCTAAACCCCGTACTTTTGATATTTCTTCACTTTTTAATTTATTAACTCCAATGAGTAATAAAATATATTTATTTATTATAAGTTTTTTTATTTCTGTGATATCTAATAATTTTCAGTTATTGTTGTATACTAAATTTCCTTCTACATTAGTCAATTTTGTAATAATTTTCAGAAATAGTTTGCGGAAGTAAATAAGGAACCAGTTTGGCAATTTCCAAATCATGTTGGTTCTTTTTTTTCATGAACATTATTATACTGAGAACGCTTATTTTATCTATTTGCAACTTTGTTGGCATGCCATCTTTGTAACATTTTTTAGGAAATTGTTTGTGGTACTTTTGCTGCATTTGCTTCAACATTATTATCATCATAATCATAACATATTTGTTTGTTTTATCTTCACAAATTTTAATATTATCCCCCTCTTCATCATTTGTTGATATGTTTTCACTGTCATTGCTTATATTGTATTCTTCATTAATTTCTATAAATGCTTGTATTTCTTCTTCAGACTTTTTTCCTATTCATTATCAATATTATTTACCTAAATTGTAACAAATGAAAAACAGCAAAAAAATTAATTTTGAAGCCATTTTATGTGCGGGAAACCATTTTACGTGTGGGTTGGAACCTTATGGTAAGTGGTAAAAATAGTGGCAAAGTAAAAAAAAAAAAAGGAAAATTTTACATCCAACCAAATAATATTAGAGAGAATAGTCCAGACTTTTATCCAGATACAGGTTGGCCACTGGTCATGGAAATCATGGAAATGTCATGGAATTTTATTTGGTCATGGAAAAAGTCGCAGAATTCTTAAATTTTCATCGAAAGTCATAGAAAGTCACTTTTTGAAATAATCTTTATTTTTTTCTGCTTGCAATATTTTTTCTGCTTGCATTATTTTTAAGATGTGGAGAAAAGTACTAGTATGACTAGTCTCTGAAAAAGATATTTTTGCAGTGTAAGTTATAGATTATCAGAAAAGTAAATGAAAAAGAGTTTTTTTCAGACATGATTTCAGAACTTCCTATCAAATGCTTAGTGCATGGCAAGTACTGAATAATTTACTGGTTAGTGGTTTATTATAAAAATTTATGAAGAGTTATTTTCAAGTTTGAGTGGCCACCCTGAGATAAGGCGTGCTGTAGCACGTTCTCTTTTTCTGTTTGATCACCACTATAAATCTTTTTTAATATTGAAAACAATACGTTTTTGCATTCCTCTATTATTTAAGGTTAAATTAGAAAATTGTATATTTTTGTTTATTTCAACATAACATTTTGATCATGTGACCAAAATAAATTTTTTTTAAATAACCTAAAGCCAATCTCTGACAAATCTCATGGTATATCACATGATATCATTTGTGAAACTCAGACTAGTAATTTTTGTTTTATGTATTTTCGATTGATCATAACATGACTTCATTACTTACTTTACATAATCATATAGCTGTCTTTAACTCAGCTGTGAAAGGATTTCAAGCAATAAGAAACAGGTTTCAAAATAGGCAGGGGGAAACTGGGGGAAAACAGAGTATTGGGGTAAAATGGGGTATTATAGTAAAATGGGCTTTAGCAAACACACCCCTTTCAGAGCCTTAAAATCAAAAATGATTGGATTTGAAGTATATGAGACAATAGTTCACATTTTTACTCAGCATTATTGTCACAGGTAAATAAAAATTTTCGCATCTCATTCATCTAATTTTTTAACTTACGATTTAAGAAACTGTTACTTACAATTACGGAAAAATCTGGAAAAACTATTTTTAGATATATTTCTATGTTAAATAAACAAAACCTCATAATGTTGTATATATTATTGTAGCTCTTGACAAGCTCTATTTAAGAGTGCGATCAAACCTTTACGACACTAAGTAGATGTCTCTTGATAAGAAAAACTAAAATGACTTGAAAAAAGTATCCAGGCAAAAAAAAAAATTTTTTTTCGTCATTTATTTCTTTATTATTTAGTCCATCCTCCTTTATTAGTTAATACTTCATCGATTCTCTTAGGCATCGACTCAACCAAGCTGTAACACTTCATTATATCGACCAAGCTGTAACACGTTATATCTATAAAATTCTAATATTTTTTGAGTACTTCCTCGATATTGTCTTTTTTTGTCAATACTTTCCATAGGTTTTCTATAGGATTCTAGTCTACACCTTGTGCTTGCTAATCTAACACCTCAATATTTTGCCTTAGAGCCGAATTAAATATGTGTGTTTTTAGGCTTTGGTATTTTAGCTGTATGTTTTGAATCACCATCTTGCTGAAATATTAATTCTTCATCGAATAATTCTTGAGCAGATGGTAGAAAATGGTTTAGAAGTATTCTAACATACTTTGGCGAAGTCAGTTTATCCTCTATAACATGAATATGTCCCACACCATTCCAACTGAAGCATCCCCAGGCCATGACATATTTGTCATACTTTGTTGTCTGTTTAACGTGCTTTTTTTGCATTAGTTCACCTGGTCTTCTCTATGTCCAACGTCTATCATTATACCTTTTTCTAATCATTAGCGGTCCAGTTTTAATACTTCTTTGCAAATGCAAACCTATTTGCAATATTTTGTTTGGTAAGTAATGGTTTTTTGGCAAGTGCTCTACCATGTAAATCATACTCATACAGTCTGTTTCTAACAATTCAAGGACTTATATTGACTAACTCGAGTTCTCTGAGTTGTTATGCAATATCTGTTGCATTTGGTCTCACATAATTTTTAACCAAAGTGAGAATTTTTTGATCAATTCTTGAAGTTGTTTTTCGTTTTTGTCCAGATCTTGGCAAACTTTTAAGTTTTTCAGGCAAATTCTGTAAATTCTTTACTTTTCACCATGGTAATGGTCGTCAAAGAATTCCTAATGTTACAAAAATAGAAATTATGATTTATATGACTTTTACTTATATGATCCTAAGCTACTAGGATACTTATAAGATCTTAGATCATGAACTTTATTGAAGATCTGGACCAAAAATTAGCAGAAAGTAACTGTCCATTTACTTTTTTCCACAGTCGTTTTAGTTTTGCTTTCCAAGAAAGACATCCACCTAGTGTAGTAAATGTTTGATTGTACACTTAAATAGAGCTTTTCCATAGCTACAAAAGTATATATAACAGAATGAGGTTTTGTTCATTTAATATAGAACTATATCTGAAATAGTTTATCTATTTATCTCAAAAAAAATGGAATGGATTGAAGTTTAACAATAAAATCAATCTAGTTTTTTTTTATAATGCATTTTAGTGTGCCACACTAAAATGAGGTAAAATGTGTTAGTTTCAATGGGGCGAAATGGGGTTTTCTCCATTTTTTTCTCAGACTCTGCAGTTCTTTTGAATCATATAATTAGACATGTATAATGCTTCTAAATTAATTGTAATTTTATTCAATTAAACAGACAAGTAGACTTATAATATTATAATAGTCTTTATACTTTATAATAAGGACCCTGCGAATTGATTCAATTCATGAAGTGTCGCTTTCATGCAAGATTTGATTCAAAAAAAAATGTTTTAAGTTTTTTGAAATTTATTTTGTAAGTGTTGTTGTTTTTTCAGATATCCAACACTAAGATGCTATCAAAATGTTTTTATTTATCTCAGCCAAAGTAAAGTAATTGTAATTCAAAGTAATTGTAATATTGCTTTCAAACAACCGTTAAAAAATTATTCTGGGCAAAAAATATTTTCAAAAAGATTTTTTTTTTGAAAAAATATGCTTAAATTTTGATTTCTTCATACTGTTGATTCAATTTGTGATTCGATATGATTCGTAAATCAAGATCCACTTCGATTTGAAACTAAAAATGCCGATTCGCTTGGCCCTTATTATAAAATTTTTTAAAAATATTATATACTAATATAGGTCTATTAGCTAGAAGTGCTACTAACACATTATTTTAGACTTTAGACCTAAGCCTTGCTATAAATTATATTTAGCTTTAAAGTTGTTATAAGTTTTAGGCTGTGACTATAACTGGCTATAATATTATAGTTCTGCATTATTTTATTAAAAAAAAAATACACAAATACCCCATTTTGCTCCTAGCGTGTAGCAAAACGGGGTATAAGTGTATTTTTTTTAAAGTTTTATAAATTATTAAGTTTACATTCTATGGTATTATTGCTTTATTATAATGTTGTATTCTTTTATTTTCAAGTAAACTTGTATTGATTTTGGTAACTCTAGAAGAGCTTAGGTACTTAAATTTGTTTTATCTCTGTTTCCCCTAATTTCATCTTCTAAAATTAACTATACAAATTCTCTTTTCCTATTTTTTTCATTATGTTATGCAACAAACTTGAAATAAGAATGAAGTTGTGGTTTTAACTTCTTAATCTTTTGAATTTACGCATTCACTTCAATTTACTTCTTTGAAAGTAGCCATATTGAAAGTTATTATATTTCAAACTAAATTTGTAAATTATCAATACTGGCTAATATTTATAAACAAACATTCCTGACATTTTTCTTTTCACATATAGTATAATAAGGCATCCAATTGTAAAAATATTTCTTGACGATGAATACTTTTTGTACAATAAAGTAAAATGTTAAGTTAGTTTAAGTGAGAAAGTCTTTCAAAGCTTTTATTGAATATAAACTCTCAAATATTATTAGTATTCAGCATTACTTATGTTTTAGTGAAAAGCATTTTTTAGCTTTCTAAATGTTTAGAATGCATTAAAATAGACTCTACAATGGAGCTAATTTAAAGGAGATACAAATAGAAAAAAAGTTTTCAGGATTTTTTAAAATTTTCAGAAATATATACGTAAACATTCAACATCAACTTACAACTTTTCATGTTGGCAAGTCATAAATACATATTCTTATTTAGCTGTTTTATAAGATGAGTTATTGGTCATTTTATAAAATGATCATATAAAATAATTTACCTCCTAACATAATCAACTTAGATTATAAATTTTTATTTATTTGACTTTTTTTTTAGACGAATACCTATGAATCTATATGAAACGTCTGACCAAAACGAATATTTTGAGACTGTAGCTAGCAGTGATGATGACTTGAGTAGTTAAAATACCTCCGCTTTTGATTTCGAAAAAGCCAATGGGAATCGATAAACTGCTGCTTAATGTCGACAATGACTTTATTTTCCTCGACATTGACAACTGAAAAAGTTGGTATATCGTCATGCCTAAAATTTCAATGAATTCAGTAAAGAAAAATTTAAAGAGAACGTTTTTCTATAATAACTAAAATTATTATGTTTAAAGAAATCCCTTAGGTTCTTTAATTTTCTTATTTATTTCTTTTTTTTTTTTTTTTTTCTTTTTATGTTAACTTGTAATTTTATAAAACTGAAAACAATCCTATTTATATGCAGAATACTTGGTAAATTAAGATTGGTCTGGATTTGGTATGGGGTCTTTAAATTTGAACTAGCATTTAGAATTAAGATTGGTCTGGATTTGGTATGGGGTCTTTAAATTTGAACTAGCATTTAGAAATAAGATTGGTCTGGATTTGGTATGGGGTCTTTAAATTTGAACTTTTAGAATTGGACAGAATGAAGCAAACTAAAAGTAATAGTTATAGTAAGTAAGCAATAAACAATAGTAAGTAATATATAATAATAGTAACAATAATAAACAATAATTATAGTAAGTTAGCAAATATAAACAATAGTTATAGTAAGTTAACAATAATAAAGTTAACAAAACAAAGATTCTCCGTGAAGTATATATACATCTAATTTTTAAGAATACTAAAATCCAAAGTTATTTCTATCAGCATGATTTTTTGTAGAGCTATAGTTGTCTGAGTTTTTTTTTTTTTTTTTTGTATTTTCATTAGTAAGAGCATTTTTGTAGATCTTAAAATAAATTATATTGCATTGTTTTGAGAAATGAAAAACTATAATTTTTAGATTCAGCAGGTTATAAACTTAATTTGTATCAAGCTTCAGCATCGCAATATTACTACAAGCACCCTATAAAAGTAATAGTAAAGGGAGACATTTTTAGTTCTTTCCCTCTCTCATTTTTCAGTCAAAATCGAATAAACTTAAGGGTTATATTCCCCTATTTTTAAATATAGAGAGTAAATAACAACATTTGACATAAAATGATTAATCATACTATAAAATAGAAAATTGAAAAAAAAAGTTTGTTTTTGGCTCAACAACTAATGAAGTAATCGCAACAAAAAACGCACATTTTGCGCTGGTCTACTTTTATCAATAACTAATTTTAAAAAAGGCTAAATGAAACTTTCGAAACACATTTAGAATAGATAAAAGTGCGTTTTAAAAAACAAATTTTTTTCAAATAGTTTTGGGTCTGAAGACTTGTGCGTTAAAGTTGACATAAGAAAAAAGTGCATTTTTAAAAAAAATTTGTTTAGCCATATTGTTTTTTTACCTAAGTATTCTACAGTTCTTTTTCCAATTAGAACACAGCTCTTTTTATAAGGAAAATTTATTAAAAATTTTTGATACAACGCTTAAGCGTTTTTTAGGTGTCACTCTATTGACTTTAGGTGTCACTCCATTGACTAGTTTGTAACTATATGAGTGACACCTAACCAATTTATATTAATTTACGATGAAATTTGTAAATTTTATTGATATGGTTAAATTAAAAAAAAAAAAAAAAAAAAAAGCGGTTCACCTGAAATTTCGGCCTGCACATTGAAAATAATTAAAATGATAAAACGCGTAACAAACTGATACTAAATGCTAAAAGCAGGGCCACGCCACTGGGGGGCACGTGCCCTGTTGACTTTTTATGATGACTTTATTTCTAAAGGGTTGTTTTGTTTTTTTTAATTTCTAGATATATAGGACTTTTTTTTAGAAATTGATGATTGTACCCCTCCACTTCAAAACCCGTGTTGTCGGCCATAAAAAGATTTTTTTGTGATTATATCCTGAGGCCTAAATTGTTTTCAACTGATTATAGTCTTTTTTATTTTCAACCGATTTATGACGTTTTCGTTTTTGACCGATTTATTTTTTGACCTATTATATAGATTTTTATTTTCAACCAATTTGAGAAAAATTATATTTCAACCGATTAAAATATAACATTTTTTTTTTTAAACTACAAATCTTTTTTAATTAACAATCAATAAGTTTTCAAAACATTTATTGAATCTTATACCTCTCGATTCTGAAGACAGCGCTTCGACCACTGCGCCAAGGCTGATCAAATTTGGCTCGTATCAAAATCAATATCAAAAATCAACAAAAAAATATACAAAATACATACCGGAAAGGCGTAGCTATAAAACTGAGAATACAGTAGGTTGAAAATTCAATAGGTCAAAAATACAATAGATCAACGATTTAGTAGGTTGGAAAATTAGTAGCAAATGTTTTAAGCAAATGTGTAAATATAAAAATCAAAAATTGTCGGTTGAAAATCAAAAACGTCATAATCTACGATTTACGAAATTTCAAAAAATAGGTAGAGTTATAGGCCACCATTAAAACTACAACAATTTCTGAAATCCTCGTACATTTAATTGTCTAAATCAATTTTTTAATTTTTTTTGTTTTTGTTGTTGTTGTTGTTGTTTTTTTTTCTGAAAAAAATGTACATTTTTTCCGACCTTAACGGTTTGCCCCCAAACAAAATTGATGATGTATGATGCAACTTTCTGTTTTTCAACATTTTATTATTCTATTTCCAATTTTTAGAGTTTTGCTGGAACACAAATTACCTTCGCGTAGCTATTTTTTTTTTAAACGAATGAATTTTTATTAAAAAATAAAAAATGAAAATTTTCAATCCTTTTACGATTTAAACTTCGTTGTGAAAAAAAGTGAACAACTTTTACTTTTTTTTAAATTTGATTAAAAATACGAAAGCACCTATAACTATAATATCTGACGACAAGACAAATTTCTAAAAACATTTTACAAAAGTATACAATTTTAAGAACTTTTTATCAAAATGCTAATTCCATTTGCAGAGAATGTCAATACGATTTTTTTTTTCTCTTTCTCTTTCATAGTTATTAATTAATAACTAAATAAGTAAAAAATTATTCCAGAAAGTTGTTTGCGTGTATATGAAATCTTTTTCTATTCATTTTATTTTCTTTATGTAATTCCTAAAATTTGCTTGTTAAATTTAATACAATAAATGTTGTGTTATGAATCGCTGCTTATAGTTAAATATTTTCAAAAACATTTTTTGTTTATTTCTTATCTAACTCGATTGGTAGTTCTTCTTCATCGTCACTTTGTAGCAATCGTTGGATATCTTTGCTTACGTTTTTTGTTTTCTTCAAATCAATACGCATTGATAAGTTTGCTCTAACTAAAGCATTTTTCTTTGTGAAACAAGACATTGTTTTAAATGTTGTACAAATAACAATATAAATTACTCCAAAGAGAATAAGTAATGAAAAAATGATAGTAATGGTGATTTGAAAAGGAGTTGTTACTTTTTTAGATATATACTTTATCCAAGAGTCTTTTCCGACATGTGAATTTGGTTGACTATTATTAAGTGTTTTGTTAGATTGATTGTTTATTTTTATATTGGCAATGCTTTCTTTATTTTTTTGGTGCGTTTTCTTTGTTTCTTCGTACTTTATGACATGTCTAAGCATTTGATTGACAATTGTCATGTTACTTTTGTTTATTCTAGGTTCTATTCCTAACACCCGACAAACAAGGGCATATATATCCGTATTACCTATAGACTCTAAACTAAGGTTTTCGACAAAAGAAGGTCCTTGAGAAATGAATAACGTATGAGTGGACTGGTATTTACCATGGAAACCCATCATCACCTTTTTATTATCAACAATTCTTTTAGGATATATTCGCCAATGCTCTTCAGCAACTAATACAATTGGCATCGTTCTTTTTAAATATGAAAAATGCAAAGTATCTGGTAATTGTGATCCGTTGTATAATTTCATATGTTTACTTGCTCTTTTCAATTTTTCGGTTAAAATTAGCAGCGTACTCTGGTCTTCAGCAAAAACAGACGTAATTGGGCCATTATCAATTATTTTAAAAGGGATGTCTAAATAATCATCAAGAAAAATTTCTTTACTGCGATGCAACTCAGTAAAACCAGCTTCTCCTGTCACTATAATATTTATATCTTTATCATTATGATCACTCAAATATAAAGAAAAATTCTTTACCAAATTATTAATTTCGCTCATTATTGTTCTTGTTTTGTTTGATTTAAAACCATATTTTGATACAGTGAAATATGGCTCTTCAAAATATATACCTATAAATGTTGGTCTTCTGACTTTTAAATTTAACCATTTTTTTACTTGTTCAACTCTCTCAGCAAACGGCATTACAAAACCTAAGTTGTCTTTTCCTGTCAGTAATTCCTCAAAAGGATCTTTATATTTACTGTTGTTGCAACTATACGTCACTTTTTCAGAACCGTTAAAGTTAATTTTGTGTGTCGGCCAATAACAAAGAGCGCTAAACTTTCCTTGCAATTGATTTTCTATCCAAACGGGATGAACATCTTTCCACCAAGACGATTTTTTTGAAGTTCCATCAAATATTTCTTTTGTTGAAAGATCCATCATGATGTTTGAAACGATGCCGTGTGATTCTGGATAGTTACCAGTTGACATGGTGATAAACGATGGCAATGACTCGGTCTGAAACGCGTCAGTTTTTCTGCTGACCAAAATACCTTTGTTTGCCAGTTCTTGTAAACCTGACATATCAAATTCTTTCATTAAATCCCATCGTAATCCACTGAATGCAAAAATAACAACCGTCGTGTTAAGCTTTTCCTTTGTATTAACATTTTCCGCATCGACGTGGAAAGTATATTCAGACAATAAAATTTTACTTAGGTAAATGAGTATGATAATCATTTATACGAAAGAAAAATAAATTTAATAAAACAACTTACAATTTAAAAGATATATGGTGATATGAAACGTTTTTTATATTTACCAGCAAACAAAGAGCAAGTGTTTATTTTGTTTATTAAAAAACGAAAATATTATCTGCAAATTAACGCATTTCCATGGAAACTAACAAAAGTATATATTTAGCACTTTTCTAACACGCTATACCGGCGTAATCAGAACTTGAAAACAAGTGTCGTAAGAAAAAGTTTAACCCACTTTTTGACCCGAAAAAATCATTATGGAGTATCATATAATATAACATTTTATATTTTATAAATTTTTGTTGTCTGTGAAAGAAATTTTGAGTTTTAACACTTTCTATAAATACTCTTACTTGTTTTAATTTTTAAACGTTTTTTTTTTTTAGTGTCGTATTGATAATGAATACCTTTAAAGATATAAAACTTGATAATTAAAAATATTGCTCGATGCCATAAAGTTGCTGCTGAAAGAAATTTGCATTTGATATCTCATTTGATATCTAATGCACGTTTTCCCATAGAACACAGAACACAGTAGTGCATAAAGTAAATGTTAAAGTGTTAGCCATGGGTTTCTTGTAGCTAATAAAAAGAATAATTTATTGAATACAATTTTAACTTAAGTTATCAGTTAATATAAATTCTAAATCTTCAAAGTTCGAGAGCTATTTTCAGAAAAATCAACTTAACTGCTTGGGCTTTTGTTTAAACTCAAAATCAGACTGAATTGTTAAAGAGAATGCGAGAACTTGCTTAAACACTGGAACAAATAACCTGGCTTTACTTAAGTCGTTTATATAAGTAAAGAACAGTAATGCTTCTAAAATGGAACCTTGGGGAACGTCATATGAAATGTTTAGAAACTCATTTGGATTGTTGCTGAAAACAAACTGTTTATGGTTAGATAAACTACATCTGAACTATTTTATAACTTTTGCAGTTTATTTTATAGCATTTTAGCTTTTGGTGTAAATTGACCTGTTAGATACTGTCAATCATTTTATGATTGACAATATCTAACAGGTTGATGAAAGCTCTTTTTAAGAGGTTTTCAGTTATTTTTTAGTTTAGATTTTTTGAAAGCACTTTTTCAAGCAGGTTCGCATGAAATAGAAACCGTTGAAAACTAAATAAAACCGTATCTTTTAACTTTTTTTCTTTCTTCAAAAAATGAGGAGATAAAAATCTATACGTGATCATATCTTCTAAATGCTAAAATATATTTTGATGAAAACTTAATTTTAATTTATAATTAGATTTAAGATTAGAATTTTTTTTTCAAAAATTAATTTTGCACAACCAGGGGAAAGTAGTGATAATTTTTTATGTGCATTTCTGTTCCAGTTTGAAAACCACGTAGTTTTTTAGTTTATTAGTTTATTTCGCCGTTAAAAATATTCACAAAGTACAACATGATAAAAAGGACAATTGGCTGGAGCGAGAAGAAGGCATAAATTAGCTATATCACCGAGCCCCAATAGTAACGCAAATAAATATCCATAATATATAATAATCCATAATATATAAGCAACAGCATTTAAAAGAGACAATTTTAAGATGTTAAGGAAAAAAAAAGTAATAAAATAATTGAAAAAAAAAAAAGAAAAAAAAGAAACGATTAAAATATAGTAATAAAAATGACAAAAATTTTCTGTTTTTGGTTATAATCTGAATGTGATTCGATATATATATTATTTTCTTTCAAAATAATTCAAAATTTAAATAAAATTTCTGTTCCAATATCATAAAATATTTCAAGAAAATTGTAGGTAACTTCAAGAGTATATATTTTCAATGAAAGTATGATAAAGACATTGAAATTCTTAATATTGTTAAATGATCTAGATTTTTAAATTTATGGTGCTAATTTGGTTTAATAAATTTTAATAGTGACAGAGAAGATCTGCTATATTAAAATCCGTAAATACTTAATAACGTCTTAATTTAGATTTGAATTGCGGAGATGTTTTTTCTTTAACATTAACGATACGCTGAAAGTGTCTCCACAAAATTGGTCCCCGGTTCACTGTTAAAAATTTCTGTTAAAAAAACGAAAATGAATTCCGTTATTTCAACGGAAAGTATCCGTATGTATATGTAAGGATGTATCCATCTATTATGTACGGAAATTTTCCTTATTTGTAGCTAAATTTTCAAATACGGAAATTTCCGTTGTATTTATAACTGAAAATACATGTTGAACTGCCATTAGTGAAGATTTTTTAAAATTATTTTTATGTACACATTTATTTCCAAAAAGAAGTTTTGAAGTTTCACTTGCAGGGCGAAGAAAGTTCACCAGGCATTTTACTACAAACTGTTCTGTTCTTTTTAATTTTAAAATTAAATGAGCTTTATTTGGTCCCTGTATTGCTTAGAACGAGATTAATGCACAAGTCTTGTGTCAAGAATCCTATTAACATAATCGATTATGTTTAGTAGGATTCTTGACACAAGACTTGTGCATTCTATGTTCACTTTTGAGTGATTATAAGTTTATGTAAGTGCACTCACATAACATGTTATATATTAAATGGATTTTTTTAAAGCCAGGGAAAAGTTCACATGTTAAAATATGTAGCTTAAAATTAGTAAATTTTGAAATTGCACTATATAAGCACTAGTGCTTCTTTATGATAAGACCAATGAATTTATGGTTGTTATAAAAACTTTTTATAACAGTTTACATTTTTATTATTATTTAATTACAATAACTTAATAAATAAAATATTTAGGTTATCTACAAGTAAACATTAAAAAAATAAATTTAAAAACAAATTTATAAAGATTACCCCAGAAATTACAACTATGATTAGAATACATTACTAAATTTGTTTGTTTATAATATTCATGCAGGATAGTCATGCAGAATAGTAAAATTCTATATAAAACAAATACATCTGCTGTCATTTTTTTTTTATTGTTTCTGATTGTTTTTAGAGAAACTTTGATCAGTTCATTAAAACATTTTAAAAATTGTATGTAAAACTAAATCAGTTTTACATAAAATTTCACATACAGTTTTAGATACAATTTAAATACAAAACATACAGTTTTGATCAGTTGACTATTAGATTTTGAACGTAAACCTTATTTCTAGCAGTCCAACATTGTAAAAAGACTATATATAGTAAGTTATTGTTGATACTATTGAATCAATTCAATTTCAATCTCAATTCAATATATATTCTGAAATAAGTTATAAAATTTCAAGGACTTTTACAAATAGTACAAGTACTAATCTAAAGTAAAAACCTGCAACATTACAATAAAAGTGATTATAATAACAATAATAATAGTATTGATAATAATTATAGAAATAATATTAACAATAATAATAAGATGACGATGAAAAGGAATATTATTAGTAATAATACTAACAATAATAATAAAGATATTATACAATCAATATTAGATAATAGCAATAATAGTGGTAATAACAATTACATAGTATAAGTAATAAATAAACTTAAGAAAAAATTAAAAAAGCAATAATAATACTTATTATGTTATAAATAAAAATAACAATTTACTAATAAAGATAGAAGAATATTATTAATATTAATACTAGTAATAACAATAAAAATATGAGAACAAAAAGGTAATAATAAAACTAGTAGGTATCAAGAAAGTAGTAATAATAAAAGCATAACAACATATTTCAGAGTCTTCAGGTATAATATCTTGCTAAAAAATAGTTAAAAAGACAGTTTTTGAAATTAGTAATTGAGTCAATTGATTTTAATGGTGAAGGTAGACTGTTCCATGCTTTTATACTTTGGAATTTTATGGATTTTAGACCATATTTTACAGAAGAATGATTTGCTACATGAAGATTATAGCTATTAGCAGATCGTAGATGATAGCGACAGGTTTCTCTAACAGTAAAAAAATTTGTAAATGTGCTGGGTAGACATTTTTGTTTATAATTAAAGACAAAATGGCAATTTAATAGTTGAACTAGATCATCAATTTTGAGTATTTTGGATAAAAAATAAAGATGATCGGAGTTAGATTGATAATGCTGAAAATATATTTTTTTAATGCTTTGTCTTGTAAGTTGGATAATCTTAAAATTTCTTGGGTGCGGATTTGTCCCCAAACAAGTTTGGGGACAAGACTTTGTGTCAAGACACACATACCTAAGATGTGATCCAAAAATGGCATGGTATATATTGATAAGAGTTTCAAGATTGACATAATGACGAATTTTAGCTAACATCCCATTCGATCTACGTAGTTTTATTGACAAGTCCTTAAGATGTTGAGAAAAAGTTAAATTTGAGTCAATTTTGATTCCAAGATACTTTAGGTACATAACAATATTGATTTTTTGACCACTCAGCCTAAAATTTAGGTGTTTACTGATTTTTAATTGTTTTGATTTAAAGATGATAATTTCAGTTTTACTAGTATTCAGAGACAGTTAGTTAGATCCAAGCCATTGAATTAGATTAGATAGATTATGATTAATATATTTGTTTATTTTTTTTAATGATTTATTAGTTAAAAGTAAGTTAGTGTCATCAGCAAAATGGTAGGAAGTTGTATATTTTAATGATAAATTAAGGTCGTTAATGGAAACAAGGAAAAGCAATGGTCCTAATACAGAGCCTTGAGGTACACCTGTAGTGCATTTTACTAAAGAAGATGTGTTACCGTTAATAGATACAAATTGAAACCTATTATAAAGATATGAGGTAAACCATTGAGAGAAATTCCTCTAATACCATAGTACTCCAGTTTACTTAGAAGAATAGAATGATCAACAGTGTCAAATGCTTTCTGTAGATCAACAAACACACCACAAGCAAAAAGCTTATTGTCAAGAGCTTTTCTGATAACCTCAGTGATTTCAATAAGTGCATGAGTTGTGGAATGCTTGCTTCGAAACCCATATTGGTGTTTGTAAAGACATTGATATTTATCTAAAAAATTGTAAAGTCTGTTGCGCATAGCTTTTTCAAATATTTTACTGATGTTTGACAGAGCGAAATTGGGCTATAGTTAGTGTGGTCAGTTCTAGAGCCTTTTTTATAAAGTGGAATA